CCTCATAATATTAGTCTATGTATTTAGACCTAGGATTTCCAGAATGTGCACCGGGGTACACATAGCATTTATAATAGAAAAGGTCATTTATGTATTATTACTATATTATTCATATATAAAGTAAACAATCATTGTGAATGGGGTTTGAACATTACAAATATTATATTAATTTAACGATAGTTATAAATGTTAACATTTATTATTAAAAATGGGCACCAAATGACTAAAAGCATTGTAACGTTTATAGTGAACAATAGTTCAAAAATTAACTTGATGATTCAATAATCACGTTTAATTAATAATAGCATTTTTTTTGTGCCTGGAAAATCTTAATTTAGACCTCACTTTCATAGAGAGTCTATTATTTATATTTCAAAATTACTCTGAAGAGCTAGAGATCTGTGATTCAGAATTAGTAGGTATAAACTAATTTTACTTATTCATGTATCCATATTTGAATTAAAATCACTTAATTGAGTTCCAAGATTCCGGGTATTTATGGTGTAATCTAATAAGTTATATTATTTCTATGAACTGTACACATTATAAGATATGAATTTTTAAACATAATAATAAAATCCAGATAATATTAAATGGAGAAAGAAGTGCAAAGAATGTATTTTTTAGATAATTCCAAAAATTTCATATTTGTAATAAAATAACATGCACAATCTACATTGTAGATAATAAAACAAAAAATTAACTTTTATTTCCATTAAATGCACAATTAATATATAATCTAAAGCTAATTTACAAAACAAAAATAATTAATAATTAAATCTAAAACTAAATTATATTTTACACAACTCTATACTCTCGGCATTAGTGTACAAATCATTCAACGCTCTAATGATAACAAATATAGACATTAATGAACCAAAAATGGTAATAAACACTCCATAGGCTAACAGCGCATACATTGAGCACTTGTTTTTGGCCGAAAATGGTATACAAGTGAGCCGTCGACGGGACAGACATATCATACAAATGCCGGGAAATATGAACGAATTACAGGCGCCGATAGCGCCCAGAAAGCCGATAGCGATGGTTATGTTAGGCGTCAACACCGATAGGATCAGTGCCAACACATTCCACACACTAGTGATGCCCACTCTATACCACATCTCTTGCCGGGCGTTTGGTGTGACCGGCGATGACGACTGGCCACTACTGCCACTACCGGTGCTCTCAGCGTTGGCCAGTTGTATGTTCACCGAGTGGTGAGTGTTGGGCACGATTAGCCGATAGATGGTGTCGCGACCGCACAGCACAATCTGCGGGTATGTTGTGATCATTTTGACCACAAGTGCTAGAATGCCGATGACTACCACGGGGTCGGACGCGTCGTACATTTGCATGATATCGGCGCTGACCTGACCGCCAAATGTCAGGTACCCGAACGTACCGCACAGGCAGTAAAGCACCAGTAGTGTTGTCAACGCCAGTGCCATCGCGCGGGAAAAGTTGCCGAGTGTGCGCTCCCGGAGTACGGCGTTCACCGGCACCACCAACTCGTGGGTCTGATAGGCCAGACTCACTACGGGTACGGCGGCCAACACTGTGAATACGCTGTTGGCTGACCCGGTGCTGGTGGTAGTCATTGACGGCCCCGGGATGTTGTCTATTGTTGGTCTATGGGTCGGACTTAGCACGAAATACTCGTAGACACTTAGGTATACCACGTATAACATTGCGATGATTCCTATGATATAAATATATTAATTTTTTATGTTAAATGTTTTAAACATTTTAAGCTAAAAACTGTTATTTTGAAATTATTTGTTGTATATGTTATATAATTATACATTTTGTGGTATTTATTGGTATCAATCTCTACAACACTATCTAATACATTTTTCTAGGCTTAAACTATTATTTTATAATTATTTATACAGGTAACATCTAAATGATGATGTATAATGGAGTATATTTAATATTAAGTTATGCAGACAAAACCTATACAAAAAATTAAATTTTTCCAACATTAATTTTAAATATTTATGTTATAAAAGTTACAAAAAGTGTATCAATAATTAATTAATAAAGTTACTATGTCATTGATCCTATTATTTATAGTACGACACTATGGATTAAATTCCTAATATAATTGATAATTTGATTTTTTTCAAATTCATAATGGTACGTTCAACTTTAAATTTTATAATTATATTTATAATATGAATGGAATAAATTATATCGTTTAAGTCGTATTGCAAAAAAATTATTTATTTAAACGAGCGTTTAATTATGGTAAGTGAATAAAAATATTTATTTTAAAATTTTAAACTGATTTATCGGACTTTCTCTAATTAATGATAAAATAAAAAAATTTAAAAATGTAAATAACCTTATTTAAAAACATGCCGACTTTATCATATTGAAAAATGCCACATGTCGCATAAAAGGCTATTTAACTTATTTAAATAATACAAACAATCAAAAATATATTTACCAAGTATATTAAAATGTTTAAGAAATTCCAGATTCTTAAAATAGCACAGGGGCCAAATCATGACCACAGCCACCACCGGTATAACAAACTGTCTGTTCATAAACAACGTGCGGCAAAACGTGTCGCCAAAAAATGTGGCAAAAATACGGTCAAACTGGTCGCCAATGATAACGTAATACGTGACACAAATACCGAAAGTGGACAGTAGTATGGATAGGGCGGCCATGTTTTTAACCCGCGGCCCGCATATGCTATTCAACACTTCGTGGTAGGAATTATCATGATTAATATTTGAACAGTAAACGAGTATTAACATCGTGGTAGACAACAGGCATAATACTGCCAATTGTACCAGGGTTGCTTGCGCTATGCCGCCCAGCCTATCGTAGGCCACCGGGTAGTTAAGTATACCGGCGCCCAACGCCGCGCTGACCAATAGGAAGCCGCCGGTGACCCACGTGGCGCCGCCGTGCGATTTTTCCAGGTAAGAGCCCCGACGGCCAGGTATTACCGCCCGACCCGCGCCCCGTGTTGTCCGGTGCCGTTCCCGGTATTGTTTGAGTAGTGCTGTACTCTCGGCACCCATATCGTCGGGTGTGCCATAATATTCTTCCCTGATGCTCCTGTTGATTTTGATTTACAAATAATTTATAATTATATCTGAATATAAATTAATATGTTAAAATTATATTAAAAGTACCAAATATTAAAATTTAAATAATTTATAATGTAAAATCATTATAATTATAATAAAATTATTATTTAGTTTCATAATAAATGTAAAGTAATGTAATGTAACTTTCAATATATGAATAACCAATTTACAGTGACTACTGTGTATTTTGTTTATTATTTTATACATTTTAATTAAATCTACAGTATTTAATAAAATTTTTATTGTAAAAGTTTTAAAATTAATGACCCAAGTTGTCTTAATATAAATCAATTGCTCACAAGTAATATGGTATTTATTAAATCATGTTTGACAATATAACTACTTAAATATAATACAAATCCTTACCCTAACTTCCCGGTGGCGTCCATAGTCTTGAGCGACTCCGTGATGGCCTGTCGGGTGGCGTCGAGTATAGTATCTGTTTTCTCGGCAAAGGAGACCGACAGACCCCGTCTCTGACTACGGGTGCTCTCACTCTTAATGTCATGAGTGCTTATATGTAGCGATGTTTCCGTCGGATATGCATTACTATCGTTGCCTTCACTGGACTTTGGATCCATTGTCTTATGATGTTATCACTTATTGCACAATATTATAATTATGTATTATAAAAATAATTTTAAATTAGTCATGTTAATCATAAATATATATAAGATCAGTTTAAATTCATGATTAATTAATTTTGACACTTTTAATTAAAATATTAAAACTGTAAATTAAAAAGTAAAAATTATATTAAATATTTATAATAATTAAAATGTGTAATAATTGGCGTAAAGGCGACTCAAACCAATTAAGACTACTTTTTCTTAATAATTTTTATAATTTATTTTTTAGTGTCAATAGCTTTAGTGTTAACTCAAAAATGTACACTAATTCTTATACACTATACTTAAAAACACGACCGAAAATATGTTGTTATGGTATAAGATATTCACTTTTCCTTCCCCTCAATCAGCTTATCGTTGAGTTTATTGGCGTCTAATTCAGTAAATTGTTTATATAAACACATCTGAGAGAGAGAGAGAGAGAGAGAGAGAGAGAGAGAGAGATTAAACATTTAATAATATTGAGAAATGACATTCAATGTATAAGTGGTCCAATATTTTCAATGCTGATAATATTGGCTAATATTAGGCATAACTATAATACTTATAAAAGTTATAATAAATAGCGTTTATGTTATTTTATTTGTCTGTTGTTTTAACAAACACTATAATGTATTCAATAGATATCCACAGATAAGTAACTAAATAAACAGTATATCTATTGAATGTCAGTTACAGTGAACTTCCCATTTCAGTGAACTAATTGACAACAAACGGAAAGTTTTAACATTTATTTCAAACATGATAACAATGGTTATACACTTGTATGATATAATTTGTTTAAGTAAATTGTAACTAGATTTTCGGGATACATCTACCATCAACTAGATTTACTTTATTTACAAGTATAATATTAACTAGAATTAACTGAATATTTATTGTTATTTATTGAGTGCACATCCGAAAACAATTTAAATGTATGTCAAGATTAATTTGGCATGAACGAGTTAAATCTATTAATTTTATATATTTTATTGATTATTTTTTAAGTATTAATTAAAAATATGAATCACATATTGGTAATTAAAAATATCATTCTAAAAAGAATTAATTTATACAAAATAATTAAAATTAAAATATTTAAAAAATACTGATGATATAATTTTATTTTATTTTAAAAAACTAAATATAATAAAACCATTTATATTTTTTTAATGTGTTATTATATGAACATATTATTTATTCAACATAGAACATTTAACTCGTGATCTCGTGATGTCTGGTTTAAATATTACATAATGTAAATTATATATTAAATATCTATTAAATTATGCTTATTCATTTATAATCATTTATATTTTTATCGTATATTTATATATTTTATTGCCAAAAACTATTGCGAAAATATTGTATTTATATTTCAAAGTTCATTGACAATTATTATAACGATCTCCACATTCTCTCTCTCTCTCTCTCTCTCTCTCTCTCTCT